CAATTGCACTTGGAAATCGAATGCGTGGCGTACCTCACAGAAATTGATCGAAAAAATCGATTATTCGGTTCCATCAATGAGAATATTCAACCGTATACCATCACAAAAGTCTCCAATCAGCAACTCAAATCAAAATCGAATTAGGATTCACGAGAAACAGGTCAGTGACTAGATTCTGCCTCTACCTCCTTGGTAACCTCTATCTCCCACAATATTCGTTGTTGTGAGTATTCTCCGGAGCAATTTTCATAGCTGCCAATCTTACCCACTAATTGGGTACCTCGGAAGCCAGGTATTCAAGCATTGGAAATCTCACAGGATTGGATTTGAAGTCATAGAAGAACAGACGCCATTTCCGGTGTTCATTTAGAGAAACAATCCTCTGTGAGAGCCGAGGAATCAATGCAAATACCCGTAGGGCGAAGCGTCGTGTTCCTCAATATTCAGCCAAAAATGATTGATAGTTCAATTACGCCCTCAAGGAGTATGAAAAACGTGACGATATGTTTCACATCCATCTTTTATTCGGAATGGCTAGAATCTGAAAAACACATTTGGCCCACACTTGTGTCGTCACCAGTACATTCCAGGTCCAAACTGGAATGTTTAGACAAACCGTCTACGAGTCCTTTTAGTATTTAATATAATATTTCATAACATTGATAATAAATCATCAGTGATCACTGAAGTTTTTCAACAACATGGGAACCGATATAAATACTGCACAAATGTCAAACACGCTGTCACAACATCACCTTTCCTTCTACATATAAATACCTATAAGTCAATTTGCAACTTTTAAGTAGACTATGACTTTGCACGGTTGTGGGAACAGCTTAGTGGGAAATTCGCGCTTTTCTTTATGCTACTATGCCGACTGGTTCAAGTTTTTCTTCCATAATCATTAAGTTCATGGATCATGAATCTGACTGAGTATATTCAATTTTTCTTCACGCCTGCTCAAAAGTAAATGTTCGGTAATTTTCCCCTCCACTTCTTTCGAAACCGAGTGAGCTGTTTTTCGGAAAATTCGCAATCAGTATTGGATTTATATGTATCCAGTACATCATCGGTCGCCCCCTCCCGAAAGAAAGCCTCTAAAGAGGGGGTTTATGACGGCGATCGTATGAAGCCCATTAGAGTTCACATGTTAGGGCAGCGGGCCTTCACGACAGTTGGAAAGCGAGTATACAGTATGAACCCTATGGTCTCTTTATTCAGTTCACTGGTAAAATAATGATTGAACTGATCTTCTAACTAACCGCCTAATCAAAGCGATTCCTCTGTAGCCTAGCAGCACGGCTTTTTTGCAAAAGAAGCAAGCAATTATTCACGTCCGCCTAATTTTTACAGTGAGGGAATCGACTCATCTTTAATAGTGAAAAAATACAGATTTGGCAAAAATAAAGCAGTACAAAAAATGCGAGTACAGATGGGCAAATAGAAACTGAAGCTTTTTCACGAAGTGTTTTTTACTTTATTTCAATTGGAACCATTCATATTTATTGCTAATTAAGCTTGTGAAAAAATAATATAATACGTTATGAACATGTCCTGTGTGAGTTTCTGTCAATTCTGAATGGATCGATTTTTTTGAATTCCACTCAAAAAGAGCTTAACGTTTTGAAGAGTTACGCAAAAAAAGGTAGTTGTAGGGATCTTCACAAAAATGTGTTTTGTCGTTTTTGAAATTAAGTTTGAAATAAAAAATAAATAAATAAATAAATAAATTTCAAATCTCCAAAAATATTCTAAAAAAATTCTAATAAAAAATTCAAAATAATAAAAGAAATAATAATTCAAAATAATAATAAATAATAGTAAAAAATTCAAAAATATTCTAATATTCCAAAAATATTTCTGAAAAATTTTATTTCAGAATACAAACGTTAATATGAAATATCAAAATATAAATATATATGACATATATGTATATAAATGTTTGGAAAGTCTCATCCCTTAAAAAGCGAAACGCCTCGAAGCCCATTGCCTTTTTTCCATTGATTGTTTAGGTACTGTACGGATTACTGTATTACTGTCGAAGACCGTAACCCTAGAAGACTGTTATTGGCAGTTACTGTACAGATTACCGTACTGTTGCGAATACTGTAGTTTGAAAGGGTATGGATGCCAAAAACTGAGCAATAAGTTTTTTATAAAAAAAAAAGAAAATAGTAAAATTATCAGTGATTGACAACCTGTACATGGTATTCCCATTACCAACTTCTATAACTAGTATTAGCATTATTATCAAGACCAATAATACTGGATTTCGATGCAGCGCTTAGCTGACGGGTCTCCCAGGCCATTTTCTCCCATGAGGATCTCATTATTCTCACCAAGGTCTATCCTATCACTTTTTCTTATAAAGAGTCACGAAACAGCATTACAACAATAGATAAACAATTCATTTCCCATGACCTCATCAGAAGTTTTTTTCCGCCAAGCAGCTGTTGATGCTCGAAAAAAAAGCTTTTCGCATTCGTCTTTTCACTAGAAGATAACTGGTTCACAGAATCGCTTAGTTCCTTCAAATTTCCTTCTCAGTCGGCGAATGGAAGTCGATGTCACGACGTTAGGATCTATTGGTGTCAGTCAGCTGTCCATTCATGTAAGCCGACACACATAACATCGATTTCTGCTGGCGCCCCAAACACCACGTCGGTGAGGGTGGCCAACGGACGGGCGGGCCAACCCTCCTGACGCTGGGTACATCAATAGTGGCGAGTATTGAGTGCAATTTACAATGGGAAATAATAAAACCGGTAGTGTTTACTTGCTTACTACAGGTAGAGGTAAACAAAAACCAGAGGAACGTAAAACCACGAACTCTTTCCATATGAATTTGTCGTCGTAGCTAGTAAAAAAAGAAAAGCCTAGTGAAACGCACCCGTATACTATTTACCCAAAACGGGTCCGAATAGGAAAAATCAGGAAAAATAAAGGACTCACCTTGGCGTCGGCTTGCTTTTTGATGACAATTCTTGGTTTCCGAGCTTTCTCTTCACGTTTTTCACGTTTTAATTGTGTTTTCAATTGAGACGCCCTGTAAGAAAGCTTTGAATACTGCCACAATCTATGAAAATTGTCCCAATCAGCAAGCAAATGAGATTAAGGTTCAGAAGAAATCAACTTACCTGTGCTTATCAGCAGGTAACTGATTGAGATTTGAAAGATTGATTTTGCCAAGACCAAGCGAAACACCTCTGGCGGCCAACATTGTTATCAGTCAGCGATCTGATCGAATTGTTGATTATCATAGAGTAAATAAAAGTTCAATGATGCTCAAATGAACACAAAAGACTGGAAAATAGCGGGCGTGACTTGGTGTAATTGCCGAAAACAAGGGGGAACAAATCATATGGCTCCACCTCCTTTGTCGACAAGCCCAACAAGAGCCCCCCACAGACGGGCGATGAATGAATGAGTTGGTAGACCAACGATTAATAGCCGGCCTTCGATCTTCTCTGTAGAATGGCTTCTACGATTGAACGAAATAAAAAATACCGTGCAATTACACGAAAAAGGGGGTCTTATCACAGCTCACTTCACTTTACTCCGCTTTATTCCACTTTTTCTGATTCATCACATTCTATCCCATCTTTTTACTTTACTATATTACACTATACTGTTCATTATTACTCTACTCTACCCTGTACAATGCTATACAACTACATCTACTACACTATACCATTATATCATTTCTTATTCATTCTAAGATATAAAATGAACAGAAGGACCAGAAAAATGAATAAACATGCCCACAAATCTATGTGGAAGTAAGGAAAGAAAAGTTCAAGAGCAGGACAAGGGGGAAAAATGTGACAGGAGAAGAAGGACGAATGGGCAAAGGATCTGGGCACAGAATATGATAGGGTAGTATGGGAGATAAAAGGATAAGACAGAATGAAAGAGAGTAGATTGAAGCAAAAATCAAGTGGGAACGAACAAACTGAAGAGAATGGACTATAATAGGGAAAGGAATGAGAGTAGGAGTATGGATAGGAGTAGGAACAGCCGCAGGAATAGGTATAGGAATGGAATGACTACAATAAAGTATAAAAGAATAAATTAAAGAAAAACAGGACCGACGACATTTAAGACCAGATCAAAGATAATAAATTACGCTGGACTGGAATGAGCAGAATAGAATAAATTACAGTAGAATAGGTAAGATTTCAATGCAAAGCAGAATAAAATGAATTCTAGACAGTCGGTTCTACCATCGTTTGGACCAATTCTAGCATTCAGTGAGGTACAGTTCCTTATTTGCCTAAGATCCTGTAGGGTTTGGAGATTTTTGCACGCGTAACTTCTTAGGCTGATTCCACATTTCAGGCTCCAAAGAATCTGTATCCGCCGAAACTCCCAGCGGAATTGTCCTAACTGTCCTGCCCTAACTTGATTTCAGCAATGATGTCGAGGTTCATATAGTTGGTGGAGATTTAAAAAGGACCTAACAAAAAGGGACATAATGGCGCCAAATAGGAGAGGACTAGATATAGAATTAGAATAAATACAAGGTGAGGAAAAAGTTAGAAAATGGGTTACACAAAAAAAGAGTTTCATCGAAAACGGCTACTGGAGGCAGTCAGAAGCCAAGTAAGCAGGGGAGGGCGTCACTTGGTGCGTGGAAAATCGAATCAACTCATGAAGAAGCTCAAGAATAAATTAGATTCCAATAGATATACGGTATAACGAAGCTGTTACCACACAACTACATGAGCCCTCGTCCTACAAAGAACTCCCTGAACAGCTTTCGAATTGTATTATCGGAGTCGTAAGTCAAGTGGGGAGAAAACATACTACAATGCCTGTCAGCCAAAACATGCCATTATATAATTCAGCCTACGAACCACTCGCATGCCGCCTTTTGCCTTCAAGCCGCTGGAGTGGAAAACCTTACCGAAGCCTAACGAAGAGCCTTCTGAATTCAAGAGAGCGATGCTTCAAAAAGAGCCTTTGAAGAGAAGAGGCCGTTGATGTTTAATGCATACATCAAGCTACATTATCATAATGATTGATCATATGTCAATGCCAACTGACGACTCGTCACAAAACCGGACTGATGGGTTTTGCGGAGACCCTTGCACCTTCTAGACCAGAAGCCTTTCACACTTATCAGCTGTTCCTTTACCTCCAATCCTTCTTACTACTTCAGCTTTCACGGTAAGATAGTGACAGCTCATATGCCAATGCCAACTGACGGCCATTAGAAAACCACAGAGCTAGATTTATGGATCGTTCGACATTCCCTCCATACCCGAGACTACCTACTTATCGCCTTCTTTTCAGCATCATGTCTACATTACAAAAAATAAAACAACGAATAAACGAAGCCAATAAAAAGTGACATCAAAGAATTGTTATTGACTAATGATCACAAATAACTGAAAAAATGAGAAGACTTTGAATTTTACTGCTCGATAAATATCAATAGATGGAAGAAGCATAATTTCAATTTTTTCAATGCGAACGGGCTTCCTGATAGAATTGTACCACATGGAATCTCTATAAGCTCTATAGCATTGTTGACTAGCCAGGGAGAAAAGTCAGGGGAACAATGACCGACCCNAAACTTTTCTACCGTCTCCATATCCTCCAATACCTTCACCTTTATCTGTTCTAATGAGCTCGACCTTGGATGGATGGCAAGAGGACCATCATAAGGCCCACTGGATCCAAATGGGACGTGTTGCGCCTGAATACTGGGCTGTTGAAACTACTCATGGGGCTGTTGGGTCTGCTCTAGTATTCATAGAAGCACTCGTTGCAAAAAAACATCTTGCAAAGACGTTTCTGTCCAAAAAAAACAGTCATTTGTGCAGATATTCCGCAGAATGTCCTCCTTGAAGAGGTTTTCTCCCTGCTACAGTACTGCGAGAGGGAATGAACACTAAATAAGAAGGCAAGACGCCTTTTGCCTCATTTTTTTTCATTCTGGTGGCTCTGCGCCATTACTAGGACAGCTGTTCATCTTATCTAGGATCGGAATACCTTATCAGCAGACCAAACTCGTTTTCCACAGTCCCTTACCACTTTACCCCTTACCATCAGGATCAAGCTATTTCTTTTTTTTAGTCACGATCATGCTTAGAGG